CGTCAGTTCAAATATAATTTGGTTCATGAACCCACCCCCTCTTCTTCTTCCTTACCTTTGGGAGATGATGAACGTGAGAACATATCTGGACCCCGAATCTTTTGGCATATAAATATATAAATGGAAGACGAGCGCTCGTCCTGAGACACAGTCATCCAGTTGTGCATTGGGGCTTCATCACGAGCCCCACCAGCAGTCAGTCGGTAGCCAGTATATTATAGGCGAACTGCCATTACCGAAAAATACAAGGGGACAAGGATGGCCATTTCTGTATACTGTACCATCAATGCTACACCTGGTGGTTTTAAGAGGTGATTAGTACTTCCATCTCAGTAACTCTTTAGCTGGGCTTTAAGTGTCGACCTTCTGTTTGCAGATGAAGGTCAATTCTGGTCGCCAATGTTTTAGGCAGTTGAGGTAGTTTGATTTTTTTATTATAAGGCCGGTTTTATCACGACGATTTCTGACTTTACACGAACTCAGCAATATTTTAAACGATGAACTAACTAAACGACTGCGCAGATTAAAAAATATTCACTTACTATGAACGCGTAATTTACTGTGATAATTTAATGTACTTTTAATCGGAACTTTGCTTATTGAGAAAAGAAACAGGTGTTGTGACCTGCCTAAAAACCGGGTTTAGTTGGTACCAGTGTTTAGTTTGTGGTTGGGCTAATTCTATCGTTAAAAAGATCGTCACGCTTAAAACAAATGAGGTTTGAAGTTAAATATCAGGTTAGTTCAGGGTTTAAGTTAATTGCAGATGAAGTGCAACGTTTAAGTCTGGTCGTGGTCCGTGGTTATTGGTGCATTTCTCGATTGCAAATGAACTTCTGTTTGTAGCATCGCTCTAGCTTTTTTGATACTTCTTCCACAAACGAAAAACTTCCTATCAAAAGATTCATGGCAATAGATAAGAAACTCAAATTTACCGCTAAAAACACGACAATTAAAATAGTCTGTGTTAGCTGGCGGGCAAATAAAGGTTTCTTGTTAAAACACCGAGTTAATGAGGTGCCTAATTATAATGTTTGCCTAGTTGTCTTGTCAAGCGCAAATCCGAGCTATATTTTTCAAGCAAGGAGTACTCTGTTGATTATCAGGTCTGGTTAAGTGCGGTTCGTTGGCTCGCACTTTTAAGTCCATCTACAACAGCATCACCGTATTTCATCTTTGGCGGGTCCTGCAAGATATAAATACCGATGGTATATATCGATTTTTTCCGACTGTGTTGTGGCTTATGCAAACTGCAGTGCCGAGCATGGGGTACCCGAACTCAGTGCCAACTCTGCCATTTCACACACATTTGCCTGATCAGCTGATCCTTGCTCCTGTGACCTATAGCAGATGTGTGCGCGTTGTGGGGAAATTAAAAGAAGTCTTGTTGCAGTTTTTCTACGCACAACCAACTGTAAATTTAAAGTAACTTTTCAGACCTCAAAGTGCATTCATTTTCCGTTTTTTATCGAATACTCACGATCTGCATTTACGGATAGCGCAAACGTTGAGCTGTATGTAATTGAAAGAGTGTGTTTCCGAAGTAAATAAATAAATACTCGAAAATCAATTCGGCAACCGTGTGCTTTCAGTAATTGATCATCAGACCTAAAACTTGCATATATAATAGAAATTTGAGAGTTGAGCAGGGTTTAGGATTTTTGTAGTTAATACTCATCGTTCTCACACCGTCCGCATAGCGATGTCGGCACGGTGAGGACATTGGGGCTGGGGAGGGGGAACTATGATAGGCTGTGAGTAGTGTTCATAGGTTGAGTAAAATCCTTATCAAGTAAGCGGAGTTAAAAACCGTCACCAGGGTGTGGGGGCTGAATGCAATCGCCAGCTGGCGTCCGCGTCGGCCACGGAAGGGAAAGCGCCTGTATTATCGTCTTTTGACAGCACAGCACTGGATTCGCTAGCCGTATAGCCACTGTCTCGCCTGCTGCTAGCATTCTTTAACGTATGCCCTTAGAGGAGTTGGCTGGTGTCCTGTAGACAAGCAGAAGGTCTTTGTTAGGATTGACTCAGTGCATTGGAATGGAACTCCTTCTACTTAAGCTGCTGGGAAATTTTTAAAGCAGCCTCTTTTCCAGGTGCCTCGTCGTACGGCCAATGTATCATTCCCTCCATAAGGGCAAATTAAAGAGCAAATTGACTTTGATGTGGCCTTCAGTGGAAGACGGTCTTTATCTCCCAAAAGCAGGAGGGAGAGTTCGTGAAGAATATGCGTAGGTTCGCCGCGGAAACAGTTCTTGTGATCGTTGCCTCTAGACGTTGGCAATCTTATGAATACTTCTTTCTTTTTTGCAGCTAGGGTACTTGTTTTTGTGGTGTGCTCGCCTTAGTAATATTCGAATAATTTAAACAGTCTAAATAAATAATTGTCAAGTTTTAATGAAAGGGTTGGAGTTACAAAGCTAAAGTTTTATAGATAAGCCGTCGCGTTGAATATTTTTGGATTCTATTCGAGCTAAAGTCTTCATTTTCTCTAAAAAATGTAAATAGCCTTCACCTTGCGGTGTTGTACGCATGCTTGATTAGGCGACATTAGCATGAAATGAACGCTACCGAAGGTTATTTTTGCTTCATCTAAGGGGAGAGGGCTCTAATAAAAAAACGTTTCTCAAGTTCAGTCGTTGGCGAATAGTTCTCTTTTGTAAATAAGCAACAACGGAGACGGTGCTAGACCTATTGTGGTAGGTGAGCTCGCAGGCTGCCTAAGCACGTCCGATTCCATTTCGAGGGAACGTTGAGTCTTAATTCTAATCAGTGCCTTAATGCACACTAAATTTCAAAAGTTGCATCCCTGAGTGACTGACCGAGGGAAGCGTCGACTGTGTTGACATCTATTCAAATCAATTTCATAGGACGCGCAATAATTAAGTTTAATTTTTCTGACTAGAGTTGGCTAATTCGGATTTCCTCCAAGAGCTCCGGCTGTCTCCAAAATGCAATTGTCATTTACAGATCAGGCGGGATTCATTGAATATTATTGTCCTGTCATTTTCTGTGCCACTGGCGACACTGTCTGTCTCTGATGATGGCTCCGAGTGAGAATCCGAAACGTCAGGCGAATAAACTTCTTGTATGGTATTTTGTTCTGAAGCACTTTCTGGAACTTGCCCTTTCGCTTCTATTGACAACTGGATGGATGTACCCCTACGAAACTTACTTATATCTCTTTCATATTCTCACTAGACGGGGCTGTTAAAGGCCTGCACTTCCAACCGTCAGTTCGTATGCTTGCACTTAGCTTTGTAGCCTTTGGCTCATTTTATCTGCGCAGCTGGTGCATTTGCAACGAGTCCGAGTTGACACACAAACACTGCTGAATCCTGC